GAACCAACTAGTTTCTTTGGAATATGCTTCATTCGCACTGAGTTTTTGTATCTATGTTTTGGGCCACCAAGGCTTCCTATCACGAGTGTGTCGGGCAGCAATTCGCTGTGGGTTGAGAGCTTTCCAGGTGCCAGAATGCGTCCCGCATGCTTTGCTCGGGGCACCCCTGAAGGGCCTGAAGGGTCCCACCATTGGCACCACTTCAGTGGAGCGGTTCTTCGTATCTTGCGTAGCTTTGCCACAATTCGATGACCCGGGCAGGCCAATCATTTCATTGGAGTCAAAAAGAAGAAGTGACACAGTGGCAGCAATCACGCCTCTACAAGATATGATTCACACTTGCATCATTTAGAACACCTAGTGCCAAGAAGGACCCTAATGTTGCCTATAGCCTATGGCCTACAGCAATTAACAAGTCATGCCATGACCCAGGTTGTATGAGGCCGTTTTGTTCGTTTTTTTGTTAACATGTGTCTCATCTAGCTTCTCCTGAAGAATGAGACGCTGAAGCATGGAAGCTTCAAGTTCTGCTCTGGCCAAAGGACGTGGAGATTTCGCAGCCTTGGAGGGCTCCAATGGCCATGCCTTTCGTAGCATGGTGGGCGGAATGTGCAGGCAATATTTTCCATTTTGCTGTTGGTATTTAGGAGCGTTCTTCGACACTGCACCGACCAAGCTGTGTGTCAATGCTATTCCAGTGTCCGAGTTGTGTGTGTATACATGATTGAATTAACGATGAACTGATAAATCGTCTCAAACATCTTACTCGTATCATGATCATAGTTGGCCTTCCATTGCTTTCCAAACTCAGGAAAGGGAATTCATTGAGCCATTCTGCTTTGTTCCAAGGATGGTGGGGAAATCTATGCGAGCATTATGCTGAGCCAAACGGCACTGGCTGCACCCGTGTAAGTATCTTGCCAACGTATTTACTCAAGCAATGGCCTCCAACCTACTAGGGATGGCCTCCTGCCTGATAGCAAGCAAAAGTAAGACGTAAGAGGGACGTCGAAAAGATGTCGGAACAACTCTTGGGCCAAGCTGGTGACCTCGCAGGCTTAGACTTTCGCTTGATTCCTGGCCGTTTCTGGGCTGCAGCGGTTGCGTCCGGTGGCCTTCACGAGGCGAGTTGTTGCGTTTGTGCAAAACTTATCAATGATTTGAGTTTGAGTAGCTGTCTGAGCAGAGTGAAACCATAGGGAACCTGTAGGGTTCATCATTCTTTATGTTTGGACTCATGGAGGCTGAGACGAAGCGCAAGCACCATCATGGCGGCAGCATGTCCATCGGATCTTATTACACTTGGATTCGAACAGAGATGAAACAGGATTCCGCTGTCAGCACGGTCTAAGACTCCAAGGTGTTAGGATATTGATCTGAGATTGGGCTCACATAGCTTGGACATATGCTGCAAGCCGCCTCTCGTGATCTCGTACACCTTCAAGCATACGCCTTCAGCGAGCGGTTCTTTGAAGTGTGGATGCTGCAGATGGAACACGCATTCGGATTTGCAAAGACTTCCAAATTGAGAACGAGGGCCCCTTCAACGAGCTTGGGCCTGGGCACTTGCGCAGGATAAATGCGACTTGCGACCATATCCGACCTGTGAGAAACCACAGAGGACACGAATCCGAATCCAGAAAACCGGATCTCTGAAAAGCATTGAAAAGATTGGCGCCGAGTTTGGGGTAAACATATCAAAACCTAATGAAGACCGAACCTGTGAGGATTCTCCTGAGCTTGTTTTGGAATCATTGCTTGGTCCAGCTTGAAGCAGCTTGCTCACATGAAACAGTTCCGGAGAGGTCTGATTTGGCTTTTCTAGACCCACAATCCGACCTCCTGCCATTTTGTCATCCTTTTGCCTTTTCACTCAGCCAGTGCTGTGGCCCATGCCATCATGGAGCCTGAATCAGCTTGCCCCCCGGAGCCATGGGAAGCTGTTCAGACAAGCAGTTCGTTGCAGAGCAGGTCCTCGAAAACTTCCTCCAGTTCGGTCTTGAGCTTTGAGTTGGAGCCAGTGGCCTGGTGGCGATGTCAGTTGTGGTGTCGCACATATTACCAGGTCGCACTCCACACATAGCTTGAGTCCGGCCACCCCCCTGTAACTCTGCAAAAAGGTTTCTTTATTAAGACAACCAGCAAAATTTAGCACCAGGAAATCCTGGATAATTCATCATTACCTGGGGCCTCTCCAAATGGATTTTGAATATGCTAACCCCTCCCTCCTTCATGCTCAAAGCTCCACTCCTCTCCTGCCCCTCCTGCCCTTTCTTCCCCTTCTTCCCCTCCACTCTCTTCTCCTTTCCTCTCCTCTCCTCTCCTCCTCTCCTCCTCTCCTCTCCTCTGTTCTCCTTCCCTCCTCTGCCCTCTCCACCACCACCAGCACCAGCACCACAGCAGCCATCACTACCACCACCACCACCAGCACCCCCAGCACCAAACAGCAGCCCCCACCAGCCCCAGCAGCCGCCACCAGCAGCAGCAGCAGCAGCAGCGCCACCAGCACCACCACCAGCACCACCAGCACCAGCGCCAACAACCCAGCACCCAGCCCCAGCCAGCCCCAGCCAGCCCCAGCACCAGACCAACACCAGCCCCAGCCGCCACAGTCTACATGTTCATTGCTGGATTTGACAAATCTATATAAGTGAAATATTTTCATGTGACAATCTAGCACACCAATCACTAGAAGCAAGACCGGCCGCGGAACAGAAGTGGAGGTCACGATTCCAACCTCCTGTTGCTTGCAGGTTAGACAGAGGCCAAGACGAAACCAAATCTTCACAAAACCCTATAAACCCTAAACCCTAACAGCTGCTTGGCCGACGAAATGGGCCACCAGATTTGACGACATTTAGCGCCAGAAAAAGCACAAAAACAGGCACCAGATTTGACAAAATTTAGTACCAGAAAAAGCACAATTGGAAACACAAAAAAGAGCACCAGATTTGACGAAATTTAGCACCGGAAAAAGCACCAGGAAAGCGCCAGAAACTGCACAGGCGGCCACGACAAAGTCAAACGCTGCTGAGGCCAAGTGCTCCGAGCGATCTGCTTTTGGCTCGCAGGTTCATTTTGGACGCGCGAAATTTAGCACCAGATTTGACGAAATTTAGCACCAGAAAAAGCACAACTGGAAGCACAAAAAAGCACCAGACTTTACAAAATTTAGCACCAGAAAAAGCACAGCTGAAAGCGCAAAAAAGCACCAGATTTGACGAAATTTAGCACCAGCTTTGACGAAATTTAGCACCAGATTTGACGAAATTTAGCACCAGAAAAAGCACAACTGGAAACACAAAAAACAGCACCAGATTTGACGAAATTTAGCACCAGATTTGACGAAATTAAACACCAGATTTGACGAAATTTAGCACCAGAAAAAGCACAACTGGCAGCACAAAAAATAACACCAGATTTGACAAAATTTAGCACCAGATTTGACGAAATTTACCACCAGAAAAAGCACAACTGGATGCACAAAATTTAGCACCAGGTTTGACGAAATTTAGCACCAGATTTGACGAAACTTAGCACCAGATTTCACGAAATTTAGCACCAGCTTTGACGAAATTTAGCACCAGATTTGACGAAATTTAGCACCAGAAAAAGCACAACTGGAAGCACAAAAAATAGCACCAGATTTGACGAAATCTAGCACAAGAAAAAACACAAGGGAAAGGCTAGAAACGCAAGCGTTGCCAGGACCCAGCCGCCAGAGCCGTGCCCCGGTTCGGCGCCCCGGTCCCCAGGGCCCAGCCCCACGAAAGCCGTTACAGGGAAGGCCGAGCCCCGGTTCCGCGCGCCGGCTCGCAGGGTCCAGCCCCATGAAAGCAGTTAAAGGAAAAGCGGCCCGCCCAATTCCAGAGGACCCAGCCTCACGAAAGCATTTGAAGAACCCAGCCCCAATTCTCACAGGGCCCCCACGAAAACATTTAAAAGGAAAAAAATGGGCCCACAGGAACCAGCCCCACGAAAGCATTTAAAGGCAAAGCGGCGTCCCAATTCCCACAGGACCCGGCTCACGAAAGCGCTCGCAGGAAAAGCAGCGCCCCCGTTTCCAATGGCCAGCCCCACAAAAGGATTTGAAAAGGAAAAGCAGTCGGCTTGCCCACAGGACCCAGCCCCACGAAAGCATTTAAAGGCAAAGCGGTGCCCCCGTTCCCACAGGACCCGGCCCCACGAAAGCATTTGCAGGGAATAGCGCCGCCCCGGATGCGCCCCAATTCCCACAGGACCCGGCGCCACGAAAGCATTTACAGGGAATAGCAGCACCCGGTTGCCCGGGCCGCCCCACGAAATCTTTTTAAAAGAAAAACCGTCGTATTGCCCACGCAACCCAGCCCCACGAAAGCATTTAAAGACAAAGCACGTCCCAATTCCCACAGGACCGAAACAACTACTACTATAGACTAACACCACTTGACCTATTTAATGCTACTTGAGGTATATCTTTTTTCACAACCTACTGATGTGTTGCTTGATGGAAGGGTTTTGTGTCTTCCCATGGCTTCACCAGGCAGGAGGGCCTATAGATGAGAGTGAAAAAAGGAGTTCCTGTGGTGAGAGTGCCAATTGGATCTAAAGGTTTTTTAAAGCATTTTTCTGGTGCTAATTTTTGTGCATCCAGTTGTGGTCTCTGTTACAGCGCCGCGGCCATGCACAACACATAGCTCTCACACACAGCCGATTCGACTTAGCGAAAACAATATGACCTTTGACGATGTCAGGGAAGATGGTAGGTACTAGTGGCTCTTGGGCGAGAACAATGGCAATATTTTATCATATTTAAAGTTCCCAGACTTCCCACGAAACCTGATCGGAAGTGAGGAGCTTCTGCGGGGTGTTCCTTTGGATGTGGCTTTGGCTGGTTGGTGCAAGCACTGGCAGAACGACCAGGTGGGGATGAGAACGGGCTTCAACATAGGAGCTTGCACAGAGAGATTTGGTGTAGTTATACAGATTATTCAAAAGAATCCGTGTTGTTTTCACCTGGAGGGTCAATGAAAGAATGTGATCTCCCATTTCCATCTATTTCCAAACCCAAATCAGCTTTGAAGAACGTCGAAGAACTCAATTTGGCAGGATGCTACAGGCCCCAGCGTGGATGAGGTCAGCCAGGAGGTAGATTCGATTGATGCATTCCTGAGTCACGTCAGCTGCCATTGCTCAAGAACTAGCTTCAAATTGTTCCCTTGTCAGTTCTAGATGAGATTCTATTATCCCAGCCTATAATCGTGTTTGGGTTTCCCCTTGAGTCTCCCGTTCTTGCTACACGTGGCCTGTTTACTCATTGTCCATTCGCTATGCCAAAGAATGCTTAGACAAGGGAACAAATGGGTTGTTGCTTCCGAGGACTGGCAAACGTCGCGATGGTTGAAGCTTGCGACATTGCTGATGGTCTTCAACTCAAGGGCTGCCACGGTGGTATCGTTGCTGACCAGCCTACTGGTGGGTGTGCTGCGGGTTTGTGACTATTTGCCAGACGAGCTTTGGACGACCTCCATACCCTGTCTGGCGTACCTCAGCAATCATTCCAGAGCAGACTGAATGTACCGGAAACGGAAAGAAACTCTAGCCAACTGTTCTTTATTTGATTTTATTTGTTTTCTTGTTTCAATCTACTCTACATAGTGGCTTTGCATGGTTTTGCAAGTTGCCTTGATATCCAAGTTCGGTTTGTCAGGGCAACTCTCAGGTATTTGGTGGTATTTTGCTTCTGGCAGCGGATGCGAAGTGTTTGCAGGCGGCCACTGATCGTCTTCCTCGACAGGCTTTGCATCCATCAGCAGGATCAGGAATTGAAGCAGAAAGGAATCCTCGGACTGGGGGCCTTTGTGGTTCGCTCTAAAAGGCTTGTCGCCTTATGGTCTCCGCGCTACTTCAGCAGACTTTGGTGAGACTTGCTTGGATTGGGAACTGTTGAGCTTTGGCCTTCACTACTACTAGTCTGTTGTAGGACCGCTCCAAAGACGGTGGCAATGACACCTTTGTTTAATGTACTCAAAGCCTTTGGCACGCCCATCTTGTCGAGTCTTTCCTGTTTTTCATGAAGTGAGGCACCTATGAGATTGGATGCTTCTTGCGACGCATGGATCAAGCCAGGATCGAAATCCTGCCTGTGAAGACTGCCTACTTATTGCCTCCAGACTCGATTGGGTGCTGTCCCTTTATGTATCCATAGGCCTTGCAATGCTATATATAATTGGATTGGAGTCTTCATTCAATTCACAAAACATAACAAAATGATGAAGTTAGGACCTGCAGCATCATATTTTGCTGGTTCCAGCGACCTGCTTTCCGTGCTTGATTTTGCCTGGAGAAGCTGCAAGGATTTTGGTATCTATTCTTTGGCACACTTTGATGATATCCTTTTATCTATTCTCTGGATATGTTCGCGAAATCGAGCCAGATGAACGTGTGAATCAGTTGATATACACGAGCGCTGCCATGCCAGTTTTGGCATCTGTTCTGTTGCCAGTGGTGAACTATCTGGGGATGGGTGCCTTTCCTTGATTGGCTCTCCATGTTTCGCTGTTGTTTGCCATTTTTCGATGTTCGGGATTGTGTGGTCCACCGTGTGGATGGTGGTGGGACGTGCACCAGCCAAGGGATTATGCAAGACGTGGACCAACTTTCAAGGTGCGGCAAACATATGAACCGTTATGAACCACCAGAGTAGCTGCGTAGCGAGCTCCATGTCCAGCAGTTGCAATGGTCCTACCATGTCATACCAAATACTCTGCAAGCCAGGCAGCTGCAAAGCTTTCGAGTGAAGGACACAGATTGGCTGAAGCCTGTTGAAGCAGTAGATGTTCTTTTTCAAGAGCCCTGAAAGTGATTGAACCCACACGACAACTGACAGGATGCTCAATGCTATTGCTGCAGCAACAACCACCGAGACCCCCTGACCGGAGATGAACTCCTTTGCGACAGACAGCTGGTCTACGACACATTGGGAGTGATGTACTCCCGAGACTTGCGAGCGACTCCAGGCACATCATACAGTTGCAGTGGCCTCCAACCTAACAGCGATGGCCTTCAACCTAGAAATGATGGTCTCCAACCTAGAAGCAATGGCCTCCAACCTAATAGCAATTGCTGGTTTAGGGGAAGATGTAGGGTTGAACCATGTTGAACCCCTCTGTGTGGAGACCCAGTGTACCAAAGCTCGACACTGTAGACATTGATTCCGTTACTCTGAACTCCCCTGAGGCGACATGGAGGATTTGGCACTGGAGTACTTCGACTCATGTGTCCAGGGCGTGCTTGGTCAAAAGGTCGTTGGACGGCTTGGAGGTGATCTTCCGCTTCGGTGGTTCAGCTGCAATCGGTACCAGTTTTTGTGGGGCTAGGCAAGCTCAGCTGACTACGCTCATTCTCTTTTACAGCTTGGGTTTGGGCAATTCGCGTTCTTTTTGTCAACACCCAGGTATTTAATATGTGTTGTTGGTGTGAGCAACCTGCCATTTCTTTCGGAGCTCATTTCAAGACTGAAGAAGGGGCCATCAGTGCCACTGCTTGGGCTGGATTTTGCCATCTGGTTTGCAGTGCAGATTCTACACTGGGCTGCTTCTTTGCAATTTTACCTATGCAGTTCTTAGCGGCTTTTTGTGTGTCAAGTTTCACCAGTGGCTATGGAGATCCTCCCCAGAATTGGATTCGGGACATTCGGGCTCTGATTTCGGGTATATGTTAGTACTTTTCGGTCCTTTCAAGCCCTCATCGCCCCTCATCGCCCCTCCACCTTGGCCGCTCCACCTCTGGCTTAATCGGCTTTCGGTGTTAGCAACCCCCCCATCAAACAACTTTGTTTTATCCCACCATGTATTTTGCCGCTTGGGTTTGACATGCAGATGGCAGATCCTCCCCGGAATTGGATTCCAGATTCGCTTTTTGGGATTCGGCCTTTGCACATCCAATTTTTGGGATTCAGTGTTCGGCTTTTGGTATTCATGTTCCCTCGGTTTGAAATTTTTGGGCCTTCGCCCGACCTCGTTGGTTTGGCTAGTTTGGTTTGCTTTGTTTGGCTTGGCTTTGGCTAGTTTAGGGTTGGGTTTTGGTTGGCTGCGTTGGTTTTGGCTTGTTCAGGGTTAGGTTTAGTTCGGCTCGCTTGGCTTCTGCTTGTTAGAGGTTTTGTGTGGCTGGCTTGGCGTTGGCTTGTTTGGGATTGATTAGGTTTCGTTTGGTTCCCATATTTGGCTTTCTCCTGTCTCCTCTTTGGTCATTGGGTTTTCGAGATTCATGTAGGATTGAGCAAAAATCATGTAGTTTTGTGCTGGGCCCCCAAATCGTAAAAAATATATGCTTAATACGAACATTGCTAAGTGATGCTAAGTGCGTAATAAGCAGTTAGCCTGGCCATCGCTATTAGGTTGGAGGCCATCGCTATTAGATTGGAGGCCATCGCTATTAGATGCTATTAGATTGGAGGCCATCGCTATTAGGTTGGAGGCCATCGCTATTGGGTTGGAGGCCATC